ATACCAAGGATCTAGAATAGTCAAAAAATTATGAAAAGGAAGAACAAAGTTGGAAGATTCACACTACCTGATTTGAACACTTAATATAGGCTACAGTAATTACGACAGTGCGGTATTGGCCTATAGACCAATGCATATGCAGTCAACTGTTTTCAACAAGGGTGCCAAGGTCAATCAACGGAGAAAAGACAGTCTTTTCAAAAATGCTGCTGGAACAATTGAATATGCATATGTCAAAAAAAAGGATGCTGACCTTTACTTCACACCAGGTAAAAATACTTATCTCATTATGGGCCATAGGCCTAAATGTAAGAGCTAAAATTAGAAATCTTCTGAAAGAAAACATATGAGAAAATCTTTGTTACCCTGGGTTAGATTGAGAATTGTTATATGGGGCACAAAAAGCATGAACCATAAAAGAAAAACTTGATAAACTGGACTTTATCAAAATTAAAAATGTCTGTTTTTTGAAACACACTGTTAAGATAAAAACAAGCCACAGCTTGGGGGTAAATACTTGGAAAACACATAGCTGATAAGGGACTTGCATCCAGAATATATAAAGAACTCTCACAATTTAATGACAACAAAAATGGCAAAATATTACAACAAACAGTTCACCAAAGATGTACAGCTGGCAAATAAGCACATGAAAAGATCCTCAACATTAGTTACTGGAGAAATGCAAATTAAAATCACAGTGAGATACTCTTACAGCTACTAAAAAGACCACCAATACTAATAATACCAAGTGCTGGGAAGGACGCAAAACACCTGGAACTCTCCTCTGTGGCTGGTGGGCAACCAAAATGGTACAGTCGTGTTAAAAATACAGTTTGGCGGTGTCTTGTGAAGTTAAACATACATGTGACCAAGCAGTCCCACTCCAGATATTTACCCAAGAAATATGAAAATATATATCCATACAAAGACCTGAATATGAATGTTCATACCACCTTCTTTCATAACAACCCAATATTGGAAATAATTCACATGTGCATAAATTGGTCCATGGATAAACAAAATGGAACATTATTCTGCTACAAAAAGGAACAAACTGCTGATACATGTCACAACATGAATGACCCTAAAAGCATTAAGGTAAGTGAAAGAAGCAAGACACGTAGGCTACATACTCTAAGATTCATTTATACACCATTCTAGAAAGAAGAAAACTAGAACAAGATCAGATTGGGAAGTGCGGGAGAAGTTGAATTGTAAAGGGGCAGAAGGGGACGTTTTAGGGAATGCCAATGCCCAGTATCCTGATTGTGGTGGTGGTTACATGACTATATATTTATAAAAAGTACAGAACTGTACTTAAGAAAAATAAACTCCATGGTATATAAATTATACCTCAATAAATCTCACTTTAAAATAAATATATAATGACAATACAAGGAAAAAACATAGGTGAATTATGTTACCACATACAACCCAATATCATATTGTGCTATTTATGCATTTCTTTTTATCAAACTACCTATTAAGCATTAAGGATAGACAAAACACTAACAAATACTGAATTCGAGTTAATAATATGCCTGTGGAGGTATTCGAGCTAATGATATGCCCGTAGGGGTGAAGTACTGATCTCTGCAACTTACTTTGAAATGCAAGACACATAAAAAATAAAGTGTACTGATGGAAGGAGAGGGGAATTGCTAGGCAGATAGATATGAGGTAAGGCAAATATAGCTAAACCTAGGTGGTGGTATTATATGGGTGCTCAAACTACAATTCTTTCACTTGTTTCATGTGAAAATTTTCATAATAAAACATTGGAGAAAAAAGAAGCTGGATAGAGAACCACAAAGTAAACCTAAAGTAAGTAGAAAAAGTAAAAAGGAAATAAAAGTAAAAGGAGAAATCAACAAAACAGAAAACAAATGATAGAGAAAATTAACAGAGGTAAAAGTTCTTTCTGTGAAAAGCTCAATCAACTTCAAAGTTTGAACTACTACATGGGCTTGGACAATTTTTATTACTACAATGAGACTACTTTTTTTTTTCTTTTTAAAGATTGGCACCTGGGCTAACAACTGTTGCCAATCTTTTTTTTTTTTTTCTGCTTTATCTCCCCAAACCCCCCCTGTACATAGTTGTATATCTTAGTTGCAGGTCCTTCTAGTTGTGGGATGTGGGACGACGCCTCAACGTGGCCTGACGAGCGGTGCCATGTCTGCGCCCAGGATCTGAACCCTGGGCCGCCGCAGCAGAGTGCCTGAACTTAACCACTCGGCCACAGAGCCGGCCCCGACAATGAGACTACTTTTGAGACTAACAGTTCCTAGAAGATTTTTATTATCTCAGAACCACCAGAGAATTTATAGGAACTGTCAGAGATTTCACCAGGGGCCAGAGGAACATACAGTTCTGGAAGTAGCTTGAAGTATGGAGGAGGGGGAAGAGAATCAATTGTCAGTAGCGAGTCCATGTGCTCCTGTCCCCATCACACCAGATCCTGCGCTCCTGGGTGACAGCCTTGTCATGTCTCCCCGGGCCTTTGAACCCCTCTTAGGGGATATTTAAAGCAGTGGATCTGAACTAGACATGGGCATCAGAACTATCTGGAGTATTACTCAAAATGCACATAACCAGTCCATCTCAGGCTTTCTGAAACAGTTACTAGAGTGTGGGGTCTACTCGTGAGTATCCTGACGTTCCTTCCACAGGTCACTAAGTGATACACCTCTGGTTAACAACCGTGCATTAAACAATATTCCATATCACTAATAACTACAATAAAATAGTGACACCATTTCTTAAGAGCTCCCTGTATGCCAAGCACCCTTTTAGTTGCTTTACACTTGTCAACTCATTAAATTCTGATAATCCTGGACGTTCTAGCATCAGTCCCATTCTACAAACAGGAGAGAGAGGCTAAGTCATGTGTGCAGAGTGACACTAGTGAGTGAAGAAGCCAGAATCTAAATCCAGGCCATGAGCTCCAAAGACCAAGCTCTTAACCACTGGACTCTGGATAACTAACAAACCTCCTCCCTGTGCCCTCGTCCAACCCAATCAAATCAGTAATTATCGGATGTCGTCCACCAGCCCCACACCTGCATAAGTAAGAATAAGATGCAGACTCTTGTCTCTAGGGGTTTGTGTTCCAGGCAGAGAAATAAGCCACAGGCACTTAGATGGGTTTAATTAAAGAAAGTTACCAAATAGAATGCAAAAACGGAAGTTCAGCTACATTATTTAATGCTACACATGTAACCAATAAGGAAGCTAAAAGTAAGAATTTAACAAACATTGTGAAGAGCTGGGGAGCAGAAGAGCAAAGTGTGATTGAGCTGAATCTGTATTTTTCCTAGAGGAAAGATAAAAGTGAAAACGCCAGATTGCAGGCATGAAGGTATTCCCTGGACCCATGGAGGCGGTCATCAGAAGAATGAAAAACAGAAAGCTTGAGAAGAGGCAGCCCTGGGAGGTGACTGGGGATGCACTAAGACTATCTGTATCCTGTACAGCTATGCACTCTGAGACCCAACATGTGCCTGCACTACTTTTAACACAAGGCAGTTTTTAATGAAAGGGAACTGTGACTCAAGACGGTGGACTGTGCCTCTGAGTTTGTTTTTCCCCCTTCCAGGATACCACTGAAATGAGAATGAGACTCATAGTCATTACGATTCCTGGAAACACTGGAAGTAGGAAAAAGTGTGCCATGAGCAGACCAGAAATCCTGATGAATCTCCACAAGGTGGCAGATGTGGGATTTAGCATGCAGTAAAGAGGAAACTGTAGCCCACAACGTCCCTGGGAGAAGCAACAGAGGCTGTGCGCACGCCAGCACAGGGAGGCTCTGAGAGTCAGAGACAGAGAGAGAGAGTGCATCTGCCAAGAAGGAGTGGGCTCTGAGGAAGCCATGCGGGAGTCACCTGGGATGAGCTGGGCCAGTGTCTGAGTACAGCTAGAGCTCTGAAATTAAGCTCTAAACGGCTGATGAAAAGCAGATTCAGATTCAGAAAATCTGAGGTGGACACCAAGAGTCTGCATTTCTAATAGAGCCTGGGAGATGCCCAGGCTGCTGGTCCACGGGCCAGCCTGACCCAGTCACAGCGTTCTTCAGGACGGGCCTGTGGAGTGGCCATGGTGAATGGGAGAGAAAAAGAGGAAGACCAACATCTGAAGAGTTTCTGGATCCCTGTCGGGGGCCCAGAGTTAAGGGAAAAAGCAGCTCTGCCCCGGACTGAGACAGTGCTCACGGAAGCATGCCACTGTGGGAGCAACGTCCTCTCAAGTTTCTTTCTTTTTTCAATAAATAAAGATAATACAAAAGACAATATAGTTGAGTGGGAGGGAAGTATTGATAAGAGGAGGAATCTGACAACAGGCGGTATCAAGTCAGACTGGAAGAGTCTGAGGAAATAAGAAGAACAAACAGACCTGTGTGAAGGGTGACACTGTTCAGCCACAACGTGAGGGCAGGCAGGGACATGGTGGGTACCTGGCCTGGTACACGTGAAAGCCACTAGCAAAGCCTTTTTGTCCATACCCACTCCAATAAACCAGGTAGGAGAAGTTCCCTGAGACTGAAGAAAAGACTCCACATTTCAGCCTTAAAGGGCCCCCAGTACGCCAAATAAACAGGAACCATCTCACCTCCACCCACATCTCTCCTGATGAAAACGCAAATGCGCAAGTAAGGGGGGAAACCCCAAAAGCTTCCAGAAGGCAGGGAGAGGAGGAAGGGGAAAAGGCTCAGCACTTCTCAGTAGCCACCCAGGATGCTGGAACGTAGAGACAGGATCTAAAGAAGAGCAGTGGCTGCCCTCTGTCTGCACCCCAAGCAAGAACAAGGGGGCTGGAGAAGGGTGGCAGGTGGGGGCATCGTGTGGCTATTACAGCAGCTCATTCCATCAGACCCAAGATGTGTCCCCAAGTCTGGGGGCTCTGAGAAGAGCTCCTGGGGGCGCCCCCGAGGCCACGCTCTCACTGACCTACTAGGTCCCCCTTGCCCTGGCCTGAATGGCCCGGCATGTGCTCACCTGGACAGCTCTGCATTGGGGTTTCTCTGCCTGCCATCCCAGCCTCTTCTCCTTGTCCCAACCTGAAGATCACATCTGGTTTGGCCATTAGGTACCCTGTGGATGGGAAAATGACACAGGACTTCGTGATTGATGCCAGAGGCATTCGAGAACTGAGGCCCACCCTTGCAGGCTGAAGGTGGTCCAGCCTCGGTGACTGCCCCACAAGCACAGCTGTTTGCCCCTCAGAGCAGAACATTCACAGAGAAGATGAGAGCACAAACAACCTGTGCGGGGTGCCAACGGGATTATGAATCCCTGACAGTGAGCCCTAGGCCCAAGCTCATTTAGGGCTTCAGAGGCCCCTGAGCCTGCAGCCATGAGAGAGGGAGACACGAGTGGGAGCATTCTAGTCACACCGTGGAGCAGTCCCTCACCCACAGAGACCAGGTGGCTGTAGTTCTCCAGCATGACATCCCTGTAGAGGTTCTTCTGAGCACCGTCCAGTTGCTGCCACTCCTCCAGGGTGAAGTCCACAAACACGTCCTTGAAGGTCAAGCATTCCTGCAACAGCACATTGCTCTTTAGCTCAGTGATCGGCTAGCGGACAGGCAGACCATTTCAAGTTCATCAAGTGCCTCCTCTGTGCCCATCCTAAGTCCTTCACGTGTAGTAAGGATTTTGACCCTCCCCACCACCCAGGAGAAGCCTGACAGATGAGGACAGTGAGGCACCCAGAGTGTAAAGTCACTCGCCCAGGGTCACACAGCTAGGAATTGGGGATTAAAATCCACTTGGTCTGGTTTCCACACCCACATTCTTCAATACTACACTGCATTGCCTTTCTCTCTAGAATTGTTCTTGAGCTGCTCACCGTCCACAATTTGACACGGTATAGTATACAGGGTGTTTATGTAGCTAAAATTATTTTAAACTTTATAGGAAAACAGATTGGGTGTTAGAAATATCTTTCCCTGGAAATCATTCATTCAACACACACTTATTGAACAGAGACCAAGCTGGCAAGTCCAGAGGATATAAACATTAATAAAAACAAACACACCTCCTGAACTGAAGGAGCTTCAGTCCAGTAGAAGGAGAAAGACAACACTTGGAAACTCACATATGAAAGGGAGGGAGGGAGGCAGTGAGGAGGGCTGGCTCCCAAGGGCAGTGACAGAGAAGGCTTTGCAGAGGATATACGACTAGAATATTCTAAACACAGCTCCTCAATCACGACCCACAGTGCCAATCTTAGCTAATCAGTCATGAGACAAAGAACAGGTCTGTGTCTGGCCTGGTCAGCAGATTGAGGTAAAAAAGGATCTGTGTTTGGCTTGTCATAGCCAAACAAGAGTTTACTCCTCTAAGTGCCTGGATTCCTATAAGAGAGCCATAATCCATTTATTTATGCTCCGGGTCCCATCCTGTCCTACCCACACTCAGTGGTCTTAAATTCAATGAGACATTTTGCACCCACAAGGGCCCAAAAGGCCATAGGTGGCACCAGTTCACTCAGCTTTGCAGAAGGATACGATGCAGGAGGCAGGAAACAGCATGGAGAAGGGGCATGACAGGCATGTGTCACCAGCAGGAGTCTTAGTCCAATCCAGTAGCTATGAGCCCAGACTAGGCCCCGCCACGCTGCCCTGTGATAACTGAGGTGCACAACAACAAGACCACAAGCTGAGTGCAGGAAACATCTGGCTGAGAAGCCCAAAGCTGCTCCATAGACCAGCATCTCTTGTCACAGGCCCCTGGGCACCTCTTCCAGGGGCCTGGCAAAGGACATGCCCAGTTATAAAAGTTACACAGAACTCAGGAACCCAAGTCTGTGGCTTCCCACTAGCTATGCACAGTTATTCACAGTGCTGCCAGTTCAGAAGCAGTTTGCCACTCTGGAGTCATTTTTACCATAAGTAAGAACGCCTGGTAACACAGCCTCATTCCACATTATCAGGTTTCCAGTGACACAAGGCTAAAACCAGGTTAACTCAAGGTCATATTTCCCTAAGGAGCAGAAGGGTTTTATCAACACTAACTCAGTCTTATACTTCAATGATGGCAAAAGTTAAAAACCACTAACAGATCCTACACATACAGGGTCAGAATTCAGTTCATAATCAAAGGATCTCAAATCATGGCCGAAAAGGCCATTAGGAAAATCCGGCTAGGAATTTCTGTGGGGAAAAGACACACCATAAAACTGGATTCGCTATCTCACTCCAAAGTCCAAAATAAATTACAGATGAGTTAGAGATTTAAATGTGTGCAAGATAACCATAAAACTAATAGATGAGTTAAACGTTTCTACAATTTTAGAGTGGCGAAAGTCTTTCTGAGCCATCCCCAAATTCAGAAGACATACAGCCAAACTGATAAACGTGACTACCAAGACATTAGGAATTTCTAAAGTAGCAAAAACAAAGTTTAAAAATTCTCAAACATTAATATCAAGGTGGTAAAAATACTTGTAAAATACATAACAATGATCTAATTTCCTTCATGCACTAAAATTCTAACACATCATTAAGAAAAAGACCACAAGCTAATACATGTACCTGAGGGAATGTGAAGTAAATTTCAAATAGGATACCATTTATCAACCTTCAGATTCTTCTTTTCCTGGAGATGCATCTGACTTACAACATCGGATGAGTTTAAGGTGTACAGCATGTCGACTTGATACATTTATATACTGCAGGATGATGGCCCTGTGGCGTTAGCTAACACCTCCACCACGTCACATTATTATCATTTATTCTTTCGTGGTGAGGACAATTAAGATCTCGTCTCTTAGTGACTTTGAGGTTTATAATACAGCACTGTTGACTGTAATCACTATGCTGTGCATTAGATCGCCAGGACTTATTTATACCCTTCAGGTTCTTAAACATTAAGAAGGTTGATAAGACCCAGTGCAGTCAAGCGTGGCGAAAAACACCAAAGAAGTTATAAACTTTACTGCCTCCAGGGGGTGGGGGAGCAACTGGTTAACGCACATCAAAATGCACACTGCAAATACCCTATCACACGGCACTGCCCTCTCTGGATTTCCCCCTAGGCTTCCAATAAGTCAGTAGCAAACACAACTCAATAGAATGGACAAAAATCCACAGCAACAGAAATATAAGTGGCTACTAAACATAGAAAGAGATGATAAACCTCACTAAAGTTCAAATACATGCTAATTAAACAGTAAGATGTTGACTTGTACCTGTAAGACTGGTAAATATTCACAAGACAGAGAGCCACTGTTCACGAGGGTACTGGAACATGAGTATTCTCATCGAAGGCTGGCTGACAGGTAATTTGGCAGGTCCTACTAAGTTTTTTCCTCCTATTTTCACCAGTAGTTGCATTTACAGGACTCTATGCTACTGAACCATTTATAAGCCCATAAAGATGTTCAAGGCAGCAGGATTTGTATCAGCAAAAAGGAAGGGGAGAGATGGCCCTGAATGTCCTGTGCTCCTGGGAATCCAGTAATGGTGGAATGACAGCTACATTACCAGGCAACACTGCTTATGATAAAAATGACCCCTGATTATAAACAAACTGCCTCTGGCCTGGGAGGATGACAGAGTGGTTACATGCAGCATTCCGGCTATACTCGCTGTACTCTAGAACAGCCATTATAAAAACTGGCCGACATGAAAGGATGTCTGGTATACTTTTGTTAAAGGAAAAAAAGCCAAATTTCGGAATATGTATATTAGGGGTACATTTTCATGAAAAGCAATCCATGCAAAGTTTTGGGTTTTTTGTATACACACACACAACACACACACACCTGGAAGGCAAACAGTAGAAGGGCTGAGACTGGTTTCATTTGTCAGAAAGCCACAGAAAAGGAGGACCAAACACGAGCCCTGTTTTCTGGTCTTGAAAACTAGGGAGGGTACCCATCTTTTCATACGGCATCCCCCTTTTCTCTTAAACATTGCCTGTCCTATCGACTGACTGCTTTTCTAGCACAGTTTAGGTCTTTTTTGTACCATCGGTTGCATTGTCTGTCTATAAATCCTCTGTGTGTCATACGTACCACATGTATTTTCTCAAACGTCTTTTGACCGTACAGATTTTAACATCCTAATGCAATCTAATCTGACAACCTTGCTCTTCATGGTTTCTGGGTTTGGCATCTTCATTAAAAATATTTCTTGCACTGAGCAAGGTTATATAAATAGCCTCTGAAACTTTCCTCTAATCTCTCGAATAAAAATTTAGTTCTTTAATCAGTCTGGAATTTTACTTTTATATGCAGAAGAGTCGAGCTTTGTTTCCATCTAGACGGAGAGACAACTGTGCCACCATCATTCATTAACCACTGTTTTTCCACATAATTAAAATGACATTTTTATAATCTTGACTTGCAGAAGACGTTTTAAGCAATACATGAAATCTAGAAGCCACTAAAGATTGTGAAATTAGACCACGTTTAAAAAATTTAAGTGTCTATTCCCCAAGATATATAATCCAAGCCAAAACAAATGACAAATCATGAAAAAATATTTACAACATATATGACAGAGGTCTGATTTACTTATTATGTTAGCATAAAGAGCTGGCAATCAGCAATCAAAGTAATTCCACACCCAAGAGAAAAAACGAGCAAATGACTCGAATAAACATCTGAAAGGAAAAGGCACAAATGGTGTTTAAAATATGAAAAGACGCTCAAGTCAAAAATGCAAATTAAAATGCACCACTCTTTTCTCTCCTCACCATGTTTGCGAGAATCACTGTGATTGCCTGTTCATGGGAAAAGGCATCCTATGGTGGCTAGGAGTGCACAGAACACACTATCTGGGGGGCAATTTGACGATCTTGAATCATAGTTCAAGATTCTTGTAGTCACGGACCCAGAAAGCTCCCTTCTAGAAAGATGTACTCACATGCAGACAACTGGAGTGTACACGGATATTCACTGCTACGTTGCTTACAGTAGCCAAAGACTAGAAATAGCCCGAATGTACCTCACTAGGAGAAAGGTAAATAACAAATGGTATTTCCATCCAGTAGAACATCGAGTGGCCATTTTTGTAAACGGGGTAGACCGCTGGTTTAAACCTTGGGTCATTTTGTCCCCCAGGAGACATTTGGCAATGTGGGGAGACACACTGGTTGCCAAAACCGGAGGAGGGAGTACGACCAGCATCCAGTCAATAGAGGCCAGGGGACGCTGCCATACATGCTGCAATGCACAGGACAGTCCCAGACAACAAAGAATAATTTGGCCCAAAACGGCAATAGTGCCACACTTCAGAATCCCTGGGACAGACTCTGTACAAGTGCACTGGAAGCATCATTAAGGACTAGAATGTTCTCCAATTTGTAAAAAATAAAAAAAGAGAGGGAGAAAAAGAAAAGTGATTCCTCTGTCTAGGCAGAACGACACGCACACGTGATCTCTGGAAGAACGCATGCACCAGTAAAGGAGGAGACGGCGGACTGGGGACAGAATTGTTCTCCACCCTCTGTGGAGCAGAGCTCTCATTTGAAAGTTTTACCTTGTGCATGCATTACTTTACAAATGCTTGGTTCAATTCATTAATGTTCTGTTCAGGATATTTTTTCAATTTTGGCATCCATATTCTTAAGTGAAACTGGTTTATAATTTTCCTTTTTGTAGTATCTCCATCAAATTTAAAGTTAAGTGGCTTTATAAAATTAATTGGGTGCTTTCTCATCTCTCAACAGCCTGGAAAATTGGAACATAGAAATTATCTGGTCTTTAAAAATCAGGAAGAGGAGTAATTTTGAAGGATGTGGAAGGACACATTTAAGGTTTGAGCACCTGTTAGTTAAAAATCCGATTTCCATGTATAACCTCCATAATACTTGTAGTACTGAGCAAACAGACACACAGAAAGTTGCTCGTGAGGCACTGTTTATAATACTAAAAACATTCAAATCAAAAATATCCAAGGATAGAGAAATGGTTAAATGATACAGCCAGACCACACAACAGGAACTGATCATCTTTGTATACTGACGAGGAACAACATCCAGAAGATAAACGTGCGGGAGCAGCAAGATGGGTAGGGGAGTATGACGGCATTCGTGCAAAAATGCACACAGCTTCACATGTGCGTCTGTTTTCGGCTTATTAAACGGATGTACATGCTCACAACGCTGTCACCAAACTGTTAACAGTGGGCATCCCTGAGGAAGAACTTGGGAGTGCGGGAGAAGAAATGGGGATGTTTGGGCTACTATTTTTATATGCATATTAAAACATTAAGCATGGATTTACTTTATTTTAAACCTAATAAAAAGAAGAAAGTGAACTGGAAGGACGCTAAGTGTATGTATTTAAACAATCTTCTCTGAGATGGAAAAGAAGACACAGATTTTTCAAGGTTACAATACAGATTCCCAAAAGCTGCCTCCAGTTCACTGGAGACAAAGAAGGGGTAATCAGGAACTCACCTGGGCGTTGGCCATCCTGTTCCGCCCCGGACAAAGGATGGAGATCTACAAAGGCAGGATTAGAGGGTCGAGATCAGTGCACACAGCCCTGAGACCATCATCGCCAGCCCAGTAAGAATCTTCCTTGAACCGTCAGAATGACCTGCAAACACGGCCTCGTAGCTCTAGCCTGTCCCCGTGGGACATGGCTAAGATCATGTGGCTTTTGCACACAGAATCTTTTTTCTCTTCCTGGACGGATGTATGGCTTGTGTTTAAAGACATCTACCCAGAAGCCATTAACAACCTGACACCTCCTTTCTCTCAAGAATTCTATTCCTGGAAATGCACCCTAAGTAAGCAATCATCACAAATGAGCACAAAGCCGCAAGGATATTAACTTGTTTGCAGCATCCAGAAACTTGGAAGCAACTCAACCTCCAGCAGAGGGGACTCAGTTAAAAAATAAGACACACACAACGGGACAACTCGTGGGCTTTAAAAATGCTATGGAATCTTGTTTGCATTTCTCAACATGTTTAAAAGCAGGTTCCAAAAAAGCAAGTGCAGCACGATGCCACTTGTTCAGCAGTGTGTCCGAACTGAGGAAGAGAGTCTAGAAGAGCATCTGTTTCACTGCAGACACTGCTTACCTCTGAGTGGTGATTTCACCTGTCCTCTGCTGGGTACCTGCATTTTCTCATTTGTGACAGTGAATACTAATTACTAGTAAAATGAATATTAAAAATGATTACAAATCACCTATGCTCACGCTGAGCCCTAGAGGTGTAGGACCCTGGACAAAGTGTGGAGGACAGGGACACCTTGCTGTGGTTTGCAGGAGAGAGAGAAAACAGGGCTGAGAGCCCTGGGGGGAGGAGAGGGCGGAGGAGGAGGTGAAGAGCCAGCACTGGTCAGTTCCACAGGGAGCTGGAAACCACTGACCTTGCCCCCTGCCCCCTCTGCCCCTTGCAGGCCCACCACCACCCTGTTCCCACCCCCGCACTTCCTCCTTTCCCATGATTTCCATTTGACTGTCCTGCTCCTCCCTGCTTGGAAGTTTGAAAGGAAAGTGTCACTAAAGAGCTTTTGGGCAGAGTAACCGCGGCCACTGGAGCAACCCCTGCAGCAGCATCAAGACAAAGGCATTCAGCGCCTCGTAGCTTTACAAGTCACGTTCTCAGGCCCAGTTACACTGGCATCAAAATGAGGCGGCAGACCTGGATGATCACATGCCTGCAGACTACTCTGAAATTGCACAAACCAAAAGAAAAACAGAAAGTAAACTTACAGAACCTTTTCTGCACTTTAGTCAAGATGGAGGGAGAGTCAACATTTCCGCTAGAGGAGGGTGAGATGTTCCTAGTACAGGACTGACTCAAATGCAGAAACGGGCAAGGGCAAAAGAGGGCAGCAGGATGGTGTGGGCACAGCAGTGTCAGGACAGAAGTCCTGTGAGGCTGGCAGCGATCCTTCCCCGCCTCATCCCGCCCCCCCCCCCCTTGCAGGCACTACAGCAGGGCACCTGCCCTCAGGGCAGCGTCCCTCCATCCAGCTGCGCCCTTCAGCTCTGTCTCCTGCAACAGGGGTCCGACCGCTCACCATCACACCACCCTTGATGGTGCTGGAAGTTGAGCCAGCATGGCCGCCTTGCTCTCTGTCTGCTGGCCGGAGGGACAGAGGCCACTGCACGGCCAGCTCTTCTACCACCTCGTTCCTGTGAGCCTCCTGCCTCTGCCCTGAGCCTCTGCGTCTGGGCTCTGGGCTGAGGCTTCTCCTCCAACTCCCCTCAGAGGAGCTCTCTTGCTCCTCAGGAGCCAGGACCAAAGCATTCAGAGCCAAGGGCGTCTCAGCTGGGACCCTCACTTCAGCACCAGAGGTCTCCCTCGGGCCGGGGAACTCACCTCCTCCTGAGGCCTCACAACTGCTCTTCCGGAGACTGACAATCGGAGCCCAGGGCACATAAGCTGGAGAGTGAAGGCGCGCACTGGTCTCAGCTACGCAGCCCGACCCTGGAAAGACAATGACCACATAAGAGATGCAATCAGCAACCCCGATGATGCAGGGAAGTGGAGGAAAACCCAAATGTTTTCCTGGACACGAGGAGGCGCAGTGCCTCGTCCTCGTTTTAGGAGTTAACATTTATCGAGAGCTCAACTATCGCCAGACGAGGAGCTAGGCACTGTCTGACTTCCTCAGAGCCCGGGCTCTGGAACCAACTGCCTGCCTCCTCTGGGCCTTTATTCACTCGATAAAGAGGTGAGCGCCTACTGTGTGCCTGTTCCACTGCTCTACGTGTTGCAGAGACCTCAGTGAACAAAGTGTAGGAGCTCCCCGATCTTGCGGAGCAAGATTCTAGCTGGGGAGACAGTCAGTAACAAACATGATAAAGAAATCACAGGGTGCGTTCGAAAGGGATCAGTGCCAGGAGGAAAAAAAGCACAAAGAAAAAGGATGCCCCGCTTTCCTAGCTGTGCGCCTTTGGACAGGTTCCGAGCCTTTCCCCTCTTGCTTTCTCTCTCTAAAATGAAGAGACGCGTAGCACCTCCCTCACAGGGCTACTGTGGACATTAGTGTGCAACCCAACGGGGCCTCGTATTTACTAGGCACTCAGTAAGCACTCGCTGCATGAATCAATGAATGAATCAATGAATCACTCGCTGACCTCCACGGTCCTGCCACTCCACCCTCGGGGGCGCGAGCCCGTTACCCCTGGCCCCTCCGACCCCCGCATCGCGCGTATCGCCAACCCCGCCTCCCTCACAGCGACACCAGCAGTCCGACGTCCCTGGGCGGATAACAACAGGCAGCGTGAACTCGCGCCGCCCTCGGGGTCAGCAGAGCACTTCCGCTCCCCGGCACCCGGGGGGCCCGAGGTCGGGGCGCGGCGCAGGCGCAGCAGCCGTTAGGTGGGGGCGGGGATGGGAGTCGAGGCCGCCGCTGCCAATGGCGAACACGGCGCCTGGCCGGCACGATGATTCTGACGTGCTTCCCTTTGAGGCGAGATGAGAACGCCAGGAACGTGCGACCGTTTTCCGGGACGAGTCGCACGAAAGTCTGAGGGCGCCGAAAGGCGAGTGGGCTCCTCGCGGCCGGTCGCAGGGTCCTGCTCCCCGCCGCCTCCGAGGCTGGAGCGCCCTCTCCCCGGTCGTCCTGCGCGGCCGGCCCTGTCGTCGCTGCGCAGCCTTGGGGCTTCGCGCCCCTCCGTCCCCCAGGCCACACTTTCCGCTTCTTTTAGATCCCCAGAGTGAGAAAACGCCGGTGGCCGTGCTGCCGGCAACAGCCGCACTTGGGCGCGGCCATTTTGGGGCGGGGCCTCCCCATCCCACCAGGGTTCTGGTCTCAGGCGCAGGGGTCAAAGGGCAGGGGTCAGGCTCCCTCGGGGAATTGTCCTGGGAGGTGAGCTGGAGGGTCAGCGCCCTGCACATATGAGAAAGAAACCCTCTTGACGCCTGTTCTCCTGAAATGAATCGAAGATCTCCAGTTTCTGGGACCCTGGGGTCCTGGGAGAATCTGGTTTTTGCTCTTTTGCAAACAGAGCGTCAAGTAGCAGAGAGCCGTTCTCTCTGATGATGCCAGCCAGTGGCAACATGGCCTGCTATAAAGGCCTGTAGTGCCTTTGAGGACATTTCTGTTTCCTGTCAGAGTCTGGGGGAAAGAGGCCAAGTTTGTGCGCTGTGTGTCTTGTACCTGTCAGGTGACCAAGCCGAGCTGCTTGGGTGGGGCCTGGAGGGGTCTCAGCTCAGATACACCCCGTTCCTTCTCTGCTAGAGCCAGCACACGCCAGGCACTGCTGAGAGAAGCGTGTGACACAAACTCATGGAATCCGCCGTGCATTTATTTAATCTTCCATCTGCTCGTGCTGCTTTCTCCCTCTCTCCCTTTCCTCTCTAGGAGTTAACTAACATTCCCGGGTGGTTCGGATGAATCATAGCCCGAATCTAGAACCAGCGTTCTCCTAGGTAGTGGCTCTGTCCAAGCCTGTGTGGAAGTCCCAGGAGAAGAGTCTGCTTGCTGTCAGGCGTGTGAGCAGGGAATTGTCCCCGTCTGTGAATTCTTGGTGCATTTGTAAATGATGGCCAGGTTTAGAGATACTTATGTATTATTTCTAGAGGAGAGGTGACGTGATAACCTTCTTTTCAGGCATCACTATCACGAGGCAGGAAAAGTTAACAGAGTCAGTATGACAGTGTCCTGAGGACAGTGGAGAAACCCCCAGCTGCAGAAAGACCTGGTCTTTGCCCTGGTCAGACTCTTCCCATATCGCGCTTCTACAGGGACAAGTGCTTACACGGAAAGAGAAGGGACTGATGCTTCAGATGGGGCCTGCTGGAGGAAGCACTGTTATTGCTCATGCAATGCCAGCATTTCCTGGTAGTGACTTTGGTACCTGGGAACCAAGAAGCACGCTGAGGTGTTCCTGCAGCCCATGCTCTGCCCAAGTTGTTGAGATCTACTGATCAATAGAAGAGAAGTTTTGGATTTACCACTTACTGGCCCCTTGGGCCTCAGTCCCCTCTTCTGTGTCATAGCTGAGGACCACCTGTCCAAACGGCTGCCGTGATTATTCAAGAGAACATCTCTAGAGCCCCAAGCCCAGGACTTCCCCACAGCAGACACCTGTTAAGTGGTGGCAGTTTCCATTGTCCTCTTCCACACACTAGGAAACATGCTGCACCTTCCCGTACTATGGGCTTCCCCTTTGCCATCTCCTTGCGCAATTGTGCCTGTGCCTGACACCTGCCTTGCCCAGAATCACCACCCATATCCTACTGAAAACATTTTTTAGGTGGCAATTAGGCTTCTAATTAAGTTAAAATTCATTATAAAGTATTAAGTCAGCAGGCCTGGGTTACTCAAGTCCTTACCTTCCAAAGAAATGTCTTTGTCAGGAGGACTAGTCTTTGTCTGGCTCTTGGGAGACTGCCACTATGCCCCTGGCATATTTTGCCTAATACGAGTGTTTTTGTATTCCAGGTATCATTGTTCCAGTTTGACCCGATAGTTTATGCTAACAGTGTGACTTATGGTGAACTTGCATTTTTGTAAGCCTGAGGACCTGGGCCAAGCTATATTAGTTTGCTGAAGTCAGTCACATGGACGCTGAATGCCGGCATGACCTCCAATAAAAAACCTAGCCTCCAAGGCTTGGGTGAGCTTCCCCAGGTGGCAACACTTTGCCGGTGTCATCGCACATCGTTTCTGGGAGAATTAAGCCTTGTCTGTGTGACTCCTTTGGGAGAGGACAGCTGGTTTCTCACGAGTGGTTTCCACTGGACTTCACCCGTGCACCTCTTCCCTCTGCTGATTTGTCTCTGTACACTTTTTCTCTAACAAATCATGACCCTGTAGATAACAGCTCCGAAGGACCCACACGACTCTGAAAGTGTAATAGCTTTTCTGAATCCCAAGTTTTTCTAGGGAATCATCAAGCAGAGGGTGGTCTTGGGGACCCCAACACACGGTCGCTACAGATTCTCAGTCAGATTGTTTCAACCATCTCAGTGGGGGAACCTTCGGAACCCAATTTGACACTGCCCTCAGTAATACTCTTGCTTGGTGTTTGTCAGGAAGTTGCTGACCTAGCAGCAGCACCCCGAGGGCATCGCTGTGCTTTTTCCCCCTCCAAGGAGCAGAGGTCCTGAGTACTTGCAGTGGGCAGGAGCTGAGTGAGCTTGCTTTCTCGCTGTGGTGTAGTATTCTGCCGAGGGTCCCTGGTCCCTGCCTCTCCCTGGAGGTCTTCCCTGCCATGACTGTGGTGGCAGGCCCATCAGGCAGTGCCTTGATGAAGTTCCACTCTAAACTGCATGAGTTCCTGTAAAGAAGGGAAGGCCAGTTGCAAGCGTTCATCTGGCTGGACTGCATTGCTCTCTCTGCAGCTGCCCCTGCAGATTCCACAGGCAGGAAAGGATCCAGAGCGAGTGGAGCTGCTATAATCAGAAGTGAAGGTCCTTTCCTCTTGTGCCAGTGTCTTCAGTCATTTTTGCTCTACTGTCACCTCCTATGTTGAAGTCACTGTCTCAACTGAATTTAACAGTTGTTTTTTGCCAGATATCTTTTCAAAAGGTAACTTGCTGTAACACTGGTTAGTGTAATAAAATTATTGCCTATAGTAAAATGTATTTTTACATTTCTGCCTGCTTCAGTTATCTCTGTGTGACTTTCCTGTTGGTTAATAATGTTAAAGCACAAAACAGAATTCTTAATGTCTGTCTCCAGTGTGAATTTCAGATGTTAAGCCAGGGATAACCTATGAATTATATTTATTTAAATTTTGTTTTATTGTCTATAATAAATTATCTGATGACGAATAAAGTATGAGCTATGGTGAAAAGAATATAAACTAGATTCATATTATTTCTGTTTTCTATGGATTCTCTGATGTTGAGTAAGAAATGAACACATTCCTCCCTATCCACATTCACTACATTCATAGAGGCTTCTCCGGTACGAATTCTTTCATGCTTGGCAATAGTGCAGCCATGTCTAAAGGATTTCCTAAATTTAATACATTTGTAGGAGTCTTTCCAGCAATAATTATCTCATATCGGCAAGGATGAAGTCATGTCCCAAGGCCTTTCCTCATTCATATCATTTATAGAGTTTCACTTCAGTATGAACACTATGATGTTGAATAAGATATGAGGGTCGGCTAATTGAACACATTTGCAGGATTTCTCTCCAATGTGAATTCTCTAATGTTGAGTAAGGTGTGAATATTGGCTAAGGTCTTTCCTTGTTCCTTACTTTAATAAAGTTTCTATCCAGTATGAATTTTCTAATGCTGAATAAGTTTTGATAACCAAAAAGTGGAAACAAACTGAATGTCAATCAACCGATGAATAGATAAAACGTGGTATATCCATACAATGAAATATTACTTAACTATAAAAAGGAAATGATGTACCAACACAATGTATAACATGGATGAACCTTGAAAACATTATAAGTGGAAGACGCCAGACACAAAAAGCCACATATTCTATGATTCCATTTATATGAAATATCCGGAATAGACAAATCCCTAGAGATATAAAGTAGATTAGTGGTTGCCAGTGGCTGAGGGGAGGGAGGAATGGAGAGTGACTGTTAATGGTTTATTAGATTGCTAGGGCTGCTGTAACAAAGTACCACAACTGGGCGACTTCAATGACAGAAATTTATTGTCTTAGAGTTCTGGAGACTTGACATCTGAGATCAAGGTGTTGGCAGAGCCCACACTCTCTCTGAAGGCACGAGGGAAGGATCTGGTCCAGGCCTCTCTCCTAGCTTCTGGTAGTTCCTTGGCTTGTGGCAGCATAAATCTAATCTTCACATGGTGTTCTCCCTGTGTGTGTCTGTTTCTGTGTCCAAATTTCCCATGTTTATGACACCAGTCATCTTGGAGTACGGACCCACCCTCCTCCAGTATGACCTCATCTTAACTAATTCCATCTGCATCCATCTCCATCTGTTTCCAAATAGGCCTGCATTCTGAAGTGCTGGTGGTTGGGGCTTCAACATATGAATTTCGGGGACAGACACAATTCAACCTGTAACAAATGGGTATGGAGTTTCTTTTGGGGGTGATGGAAATGTTCTGGGAATTAGAAAGTGATGATGGTTGCACAACGTTGTGAATATGCTAAAAACCACTAAATTGAGCACTTGTAATGGTGAATTTTAGGTGAATTAAACTTAAATTAAAAATTACCAAAAAAATACTTTAAACCCTCTGGCAAGGTCAACTTTTTCAAGCTTGGGTACAATGTTATTCCCCACCACTGTTGTAGAATATAAGCTCCTGTGAGGATAGGGATCTTTGTGTATTTTGTCCCTCAGTGCCTAGAATACTGCTGGGAATATAATAGATGATCAATAAGTATTTGTTGAAGGGAGGAATAAACAAATGGGAGATTTTATACCTTGTCTTAAATTTGTGTGTTTGAGAAATAAAATATCTTAAATATGTAACCCTTAAAATTAATCTAGTTTTACTAATTTGAAAAGATATATGCACGCCTATGTTCATTGCAGCATTATTCACAATAGCCAAGACTTGGAAGCAACCCAAGTGTGCATCAACGGATGAATGGATAAAGAAGATGTGGTATATATATACAATGGCATACTTCTCTTCCATAAAAAAAGATGAAACCATGCCATTTGTGACAACATGGATGGACCTTGAGGGTATTATGCTAAGTGAAATAAGTCAGACAGAGAAAGACAAACACCACATGATTTCACTCATATGTGGAAGATAAACAAGCACATATTACAAAGAACAGATTTCCCAGATGGGAGGTCATAAGGGGTAAAGGGGCACATGTGTACGGCAAAGGATGGAAATTAGACTTTTGGTGGAACGTGATGCAGTCTGTACAGAAGCTGAAATATAATGATGTACACCTGAAATTTACACAAAGTTATAAACCAGTGTGACCTCAACAAAATTAATTTTTAAAAAATTAATCTGGTTTTAAATACTACAGTCAGGGCCTAGTCTTACAGAAGAGTTTCCTCCATTTTAGTAACAATTAGCATTATTTCCTAATTTATTTGGTATTTGGTGATCTACAAACAGGGCCAGTATTTGAAGAAGATCCAGGGATCACTGATCTATTCCAAAAATTTAACAATCACATACTACTCTATGCTTACACAATGTGTACATTTAGGCAGACGTAAGGGTAAGAATTACATTCTTTTTGTTACTAGAGACTGTTCCTACTAACAACATTTGATGACCTTACCACCTTATCCCTGTTTAGAAGCCCCTAGTACTTTACTCCAGAAGCGAACCTGACTAGGGTGGACTTGGAGCCAGTGTCAGCTCAAAGCAGTTCACTGGCCCCCCCATCCCAGCCCTTGAAAATCCTTGGGTCAAACCAGTGCCTCGGAGTCTTCCATTGCAGAAGTCTTCTCATCGCGGCCTTAGAAGAGAGAGATGACAGGGTATAATTCAGGGTCATAACTGCTCAGAGAGCTTTTTAACTGAAAATAAGAGGAAAGTAGCAGAACTCATCATCCCTAAAAAAGTTTCTCTCAGACAGACTCCTTGACTATCTCGCATGTTCCTACTCTGTTAACACTTGCCTTTGGATTCCCATTTTCTCAGCTGCTCTCTTGCCTTTCATTGTAGCCTCTCTAAATGGTTCCGTCATTGGCTGAATCCTACTAGAAGCCAGAAGGCAAGGGAGCCTAGTGGATGCAGAGGCCAGCCTCCTAAGACACACAGAGCAAGGTAGAGAAGAGTGGTAAGTGGATCTGCAGAAACAAAGGAGAATATCCAGCACAGACATGAAGGGATAAATTTTCTGATTAATAGAGTTGTCAAGATTTGAAACCCTATGTTCACTGGTGAATTGTACTAAGTCTTCATGGAGTTGGAGAAGCCCTTCAGTGTTATCCCTCATTGAGGCAAAGGTGTCTTGCCTTGAAGCCCACATCTACCAGTCATTGGATGTGGGCTGCCCCTATGGATGAGGCATGACTTTGAGTTAGGTGACTTTCTCCAGCCACAGGCAATGCCTGGAGAAAGGACTCAGCTGAAAGTTGTTGGCTGCCAACTCTCCAAGCAGCTGAGAGAATGAGTAACTTAGTCCTGAAGGGGGAGACATCTGAGAGGCACACTACTGCATATGCTACAGTTTATTACATTACTCATGAAGGCCATATGATACTTCTGAGATGGAGAAAGTGGATGATGGTTGGAAACAATGAAACCAGAGCCTGAGTGAAGGCCAAGGGAATGATGGAAAGGAAAGGCAAGGAGAATTAAAGACTGAAGAACAAGTGACTGGTTCTTTAGATTTTCAGTGATTGATGAGATCTTTCCCTTACAGTAACCTCCTATGAGTGAAAATGGTGTGACTTCATATCCTTCACTGGAGGACTGAGGCTCTGTTGTGAGCCCAGGTAGGCAGACAAGAAGAAAAGCCTATCAAAAGGATCTTGAAGAGAAAAGTTTTCCTAAGGCAGGTTTTGTTTTGTTCTTTTCTCAACAGCCTGTATCATATCATTGTTGAATGTCTGCTTCATCTAGCACAAGTCAAGCCCTGGTCAAAAGGATTAATTCCTAGTTTGCTAAGGATTTTTATCATGAATGGGTGTTGAATATTTGATCCTATCAGGTCATTTTTTTCTTTTGATTGTTAATATAGTATATTACGTTGATAGATTTTCAAATATCAAACATTCTTTGCATTCCTGGAATAAACCCACATAGTCACGGTGCATTATTTCCTTACTTATTGCTGGATTCAATTTAATATTGTGTTGGGGATTTTTGCATCCCTTGTTCATGAGGGATATTGGTCTAGACTTTTCTTTATTTATAATTAATCCAGTTGCCTGGGTTGCAGCACTCAAGTCTTACGTTTTCCTTCCAGGATTTCCCGACATCCTTCCTGTTTTACCTCAAAGCAACTGCGTGTCTCTTGCCCAGTTCTAAAGCTCTTAGATCAACACAGTGTACCTATCTCTAGATTTACATGACAACCAGACTCTTGAAAAGGGAAGGCTAGTTAAATGCTTCACTCTGAATTAATTTTCTCAAAACCAATACATAAAAAGTAGGAAATACTTTTGACTGGGTTTTAAAAAAAGACCTATCTGACCTACACTCTGTTTTCTCTCTATTACATTTATATAATCAGTAAATAAAACATTTATAAGGAAATATGAACATATTAACAATGCTTATTCGTGACACTGACAATGTCTAGTCCAACTATTGGCCTCACTGGTATATAGCTAATGGTTGTATTCATCTTCGTCTTGGCACGATGGTCTCTATATTTCTCAGACCCAAAGGGCATTCTTCCATCTTGGTGACCTGGTCCTGTCTTGGTCAAACTGCAGAGAGTTCCTTGTCTTCCTGAGAGTCACCATGGCACAGTGATTAAAAGCATGTGCTTTAGAGCCAAACTGCCTGAGTTTGAAGCCTGGCTCTGCCACTTACTAGCTGTGTGGTCTTAGGCAAGTTACCCAAACTCTCTGTGCCTTGTTTTTTTCATCTATATTATTACAGGAATAATGAGTGTACTTACTTCTTAGGGCTGTTGTAGAGACTAGATGGAGTTAATATCCGTAAAGTAATTAGAACAGTCCCTGATACAGAGTAAGCACCATATAAGTGTTAGCTGTTACTGTCATTATTTCAGTGTAACTGAGATCCTTTTGAACTCAGTGTTGATGTCCTTCACCAGCCTCTTCATCTGCCTGTGATATTCACTGACGTTTTCCAGTCCTTTTTTTTCTTCATAGTAAAC